CACACACACACACACATATCCAGTTATGATACAGTTGAGGGTTGTGGTGACATTGAGGCAGATGGGTAGAGATGAAGCGGTGTGTCGTAACTCTTGTCTGAAATTGCTTCCTCATTACTGCTCCCTATACAATGAAAACTCTTTATACGGAGTGGGAATTTGACATGTCGGACATATCTAATTTATTCTTATTTCAGCACAGGTAGTTTTACATAAAGACAGTTTCCATGTCAGTCATCTGAGGTGCTGAGGCAAATCATGTCATTGTGTGAGAGTGGTGTAAATGCTTTGCACATGCCATTTTCCATGTCAGTGAATTAATGTTAGGTGCACTACATTACATTACACAGTAAAGTGCAGTTCAGACACTCAAGTTGAATGGCACAAAGTGAATGTGGTGTAGCACACTAGGTTGCGAATAGGGAGCGATAATGGACACAGCCAATCAGCGCACCATGTAGCGTTCAATTCCCCAGCCTCATGTTGTACGTGTGTGTGTGTCCTGTCATTTAAGAAAGTCGACATTGACAGAAGGTGTGTTTGTCACTTATTTGCTCCAGTGATGCTCAAATCCTTTAATTATAGCCTTGTGTCTTTCTCTTGTCTGCTGCTGCTGTTACACTTCACTGCTCTGTCATATTCGGTGATAATGTCGTGTCCAACATGACGTTTCCTCTCCCTGTCCCTCGCCAAAGCCTTATACCTGTTACATAACACAACTGGTATGCAAAACTTATACTTGTCACTTATTTATGTTGGATTGTCTGAACGATTGACAGGTAACAGGTCCTTTGAAGGATTTTATTGTACCGCCTGCATTACGACCATACTGGGAAGATGATTACTTGTTGCTCTTCTACAGAATAGTCTTAATGATTATAAAATGATCTTAATAAGGGATGACTGATGCATGAAATATCTCAGACAATCATAGCTATACATATGTCCATTTGGAATTGAGGTGTTTTTATTTAATATGCAAATCCCCAGAAAGGTCTTCCTGTTTCATTAATAAGTGTTGTAAATTCTCTTTATGCTACAAATATTAAACACAATAGATCAATAAAACAAACTCTTTATATTTGTTAAACGTAGGGCTGCACAATTAATCAAAATATAATTGAAATCGCACTATAGCCAAGTGCAATATCCAAATCGCAAGAGCCTATCATTTTTTTGATAAAGTTCAAATTAGTATAAATCAATGAAAATAAAAAAATAGGGTAAAAAAATTATCTTTCCCAGTAATCGTGAATCATATCACAATCACAATATTTGTCAAAATAATCGCAACTTTTTTTATATATAAATGTAATACAATGATAAAAATGACAATTTATTCTATAGGTCATCAGTAAGAGGGATAAATATTTATATATACATATGTATTATAAAGAAATGGTTCAAATAAAGTAACAGAAAGTAGAAAAAGAAAAATACAATTATTGAGCGAAAAGGGGTAAATAATGTTTAAAAACCATTCCTTAGTTAAAAGCCAGGCTGAAGAGGTAGACTCTGAGTTTTCGTTTAAAAATGTCAACACTTCCAGCTTCTCCCAGATCCTCCAGCAGGCTGTTCCAGCGGCTCTTTACTTATATGATCATCTTTCAGAACTTACTAGACATTAAAACCAAAGTCAAACTCTGTGTGAAAACATGACCCATCTAGACTTGCTAGTATGCTAATCAGATCTTTATAAAAACACACTTTGGTTAATCATATCCATGTTATTCTGTTGAATGCTTAGATACACAACCAGCTGTTCTCCCCACTGACACTGTAGAGCTGAATCCCTGCAGTGTGGCCACCAGAAGGTTTTTCTCATCACCTGACAGCCCTCTGTAATTGAGCTGATGGTCTGTGTGTCTCCAACAGGAGGGCGACTCTCTCGGGGCCATGGAGAAGGTTTGTCGTCAGCTGACCTACCATCTCAGCCCTCACTCTCAGTGGAGGAGACAGGGCCTGCTCAAGAGGAAACCTCAGGCCTGGTGAGTGTCTCTGTGTGCCTGTGTGTGTCTCTGTGTGCCTGTGTGTGCCTGTGTGCGTCTCTGTGTGCCTGTGTGTGTGTGTGTGTGTGTGTGTGTGTGTGACTATGGGACTATGGGACAGTATGTGCCTCTGTTTTCGTTAACATCTCAGTGTGTCACCAATGTGTCATCATCTGCTGCCCCTTTGGATGCCATGGAAAAATCCACTGATGTCTCTGTCTCTATTTTCTCACCCTCTCAGGGACACAGTTGGAGATGAAATCAGTTCCTTCTGTGCCACCTTCAGTGTCTCTTTTTGCCTTTTTGTATCCCTCTTACTGTCAAATAGTTCCCATATTTATGCATTCATTGTTGCCTAAGTTGTGCTTTTATTTGTGTTATTATGTAAGCATTATAGTGTGGCTTTATACCAATCACAAAGTGAAATGTTGCTTATCTGTACTGTGGCTGTCATTTTTATTCACTATGCATTGCAGCAGTTAACTTTCTCTACACTCCTCTTTGAACCTGCATTATGTAAAAGCCTCATTTTCAAGGCCTGCAGCCAAATGAAAATGGAGATTTTGATGGATTTGATATACACAGCAGTGTGAAACAATATGCAAATCAGTCATGAAAAGTGAACAGCTAATCCATATGTTTCTGCAGCTCTGTAAAGTATAGCCAGCAAACAATTATATTCAGGCTTTTGAAAGCTGTCCTCCAAATGAGATATGAAGTCCTAATGAAGCAATATTTTGAAAGCTTCCTCAATTTAATGTAATGTATTTGCAGGGTAAACCATAACATAGACAGTGCTCTCTGGTGCCCAGTATACATTGCCATATACATTCTGAGGCACTTACATATTACTTTATTTATTTATCACTTGGGTTTAGGGCTGCACAATATGGTAAATGCGTATTGAGATTATTTTGGCAGATATTGATATGATTCACGATTAGTATGCAAATGATCATTTTTGAATAATTTTCACTGAAAAAAATATTAAAATCATGATGGTGTGAAATTGTTTGGGCATATTGCAATTTTGATAATATTTCAATTAATTGTGCAGCCCTAAAATCAGACCTTCCCAGACTTTCTCGGTTGCCTGTAACAGCCTGTGGACTGATTTCTATGGAAAGGTTTTGGGATTGGTTTTCAGCAAAAATCCAATCCTAGCTAAAGTATGACATACAGTGTTGATTTTAGCCAACAATTAATGATGTACAAAGCAAAGGTGTATAACTAACAATTGCTTTCTACTAGCCGAGAGCGATTCAAGGCAAGGTAGCCAACTATCTAACTGTAACCTAAGCTAAACTGGGTTTGGCTCACCTTTTAATGGAACATTAGCAAAGAAATCAAATGGTACCAGTTTATTACTGGTTACTGGAGAAAACTCCAATTTTACTTGTGTTGGTGGAGTACTACAGCATCATGTGAAATAATATATGAGGCCATTTGTGCCCCCAGAGGGAGCTTCACAAAATGGGATTAATTGCCTTAAGTGATGTCACTTGAGTCAGCAACAGTTGGGGCTGAAGACTACAAGTTTTGAAACAAATCTGGAGGTATGGCATTAGAGAGCAGTGAGCTCACTCCTTGAGGCTAGCTACATTAAAATTCCTGTAGTATATGTTTAACTCTTAACCTTACGACTATACCAGCTACAAACAACCACATGTACTTATGCCTTGGTATTCCAACGTCCAGCCAGAGGGCGGATTTGTGTTAGTAAGCCCTACAGGATCAATGACCATGTAATTGTGTGGCAACTTCATCAGCACACCTCCATGTTAGCCATCTACCAACTGACCAAAGTGGAAGAAAATTAAGTTTTACTGAAGACAAAGAAGATGATAATCTTGCTCCAGACAAAGAGCCACTGTGTGCCAAAACAGCCGAAAGCAGGCAAGATCATTTGCACTTTAAATTTAGAAGTTTAGACATTATAGAGAGAGAATGTCACATTATGGCTCTGTAGGTGTCTTAATATTGAACTTCCACTTAGTTATTGCTTTATTAGGCTGTTTCAGTGACATTTGTTCGCACACTGAGAGAAAGTGTGGAACATGTTGGAGGTAATGACATTATCAGTGCACTAATTTGGCTTTAGAACATTTGAATTATGAAGAATGAGAGATTTGAAGTGATTTTACCAGATTTGATAGTGTAAAGCAACTTAACCCATATTTCTTTTCACTGATATTGCTCCTGAAATAAATCAACCATGTAAGCATGATAAAAAGTTGCAATATAGACACATTTGTATCCATAATAACCATATTAATGATTCTTCTAAAGGGATGAAAATACTCTTCTGTTCCTCTGTCTTGCTGTTACTGTAAACCTGATCACTTTGTGATGCTACACAACATCAACTCCAGACCTGCTATAAAATGCATCCTGGTGGGAGAAGATGGTAGAAAAATGACATTGTAGCAGGACACATTTGGAGAGAGGATTCCCACTGCTGTGTGAATGGAGGATTGGTAGGAAATGAAAATCTCTCCTCCTCAGCTGCTAGCATGAACACCAGGTGCAACCTCCTCTACAAAACAATTGCACAAGTGTAGAGAGGGAAAAACAACAATTCAGTATGGGCCATAAGATTGGATCCCCGCGGAGTCTGTTTGGGTGTTTGTCAGTGCTTTCACAGCCAATAGAAAGGATCAGTCGCTCATGTCTCATCAAATAGCCGGCTCAAACATTTGCCGTTAAAGGTGTATCTCACCTATAATGGAATTAAATAATAGCTGGTGATGAAAATGAAAATGAGATTGGTAATTATCTTAAGTAATTCGGGGCTGGTGGATGGGATTTAATCAACGCCGCGTTGCAGTTGGTACTTCAGGCTGTCATGAACTCCAGTCAGAGTGATTAGCCAGAGGAGAGACAGGCCCCATTTACTCTGAGTCTCAGGGCAAGAGATTAGATTGAATCACCTTTTTGCATGGAACACACGTTATTAATGCCCTCCCTACACACATTAACACACACTAATACACACCAACACACACGTCTTCGTGCTGATTGCGTCAGCCAGTCTCGGAGTCAACAAAAGTAACTATAAAACTATAACGACATCATCCACTGACAGCCCGCTCAGTTGTCTGTGACAGTTTTGTGGGTTCTTGTGGCGCCTTTCAATCACCAGCGTGGTTATGTTTTGGTCAATAACTTCTGAAAACCCTTAACGTCATCATTCTTTTCCCACGATGGATGAAGCCAGGTCAGATGTTTCTAAAGCTCCACTCAGACTTTAGAGGGAGGTGGGGTTGATTTTAACATCACCTGTTCTGGTCGCTGGTTTAAATCCTGTCCAGAGCGTGTATATGGGTAATGTTTCAGCCCCTCCCCAGGGATAATTAAAGACACAATTACCTACAGTGTTATAATTGTTAGAACTGTTTGGTTTTTTTACAAACTGTTTCTGAGTTTTTTCCCTGTAAAGAGCTGCTTGTCTTTCTACTTTTTTATCAGCTTAGTGGGACATTTTACTTTGATGTGAAAATGAAGGAAAGTCAAAAAAGTCTTCGCTAATCTGATAGTTGGAGACAAGTTGCAACATACAGCCCTGGTTTGGGAACCAATAGAAGCGATCAGGAGAGCAAGCCGCTGTAAAAGCTCATCACTCTAGGTGATTGTAACGTCAGCTACAGATACGTACTGGTATTCTCTTATGAGCCTTGTTTTTAGCCTGTGTTTACATTTTGCAAGTGGTGCCATTAAAAGTATGTCGAATCAGCGTGAGCAGTTCCTGTTTGCAGTGTGCCCACGAATATACAGACAACTACACTGGATTACTTTAATAATGAAGAAAACCTAAAAATGTGATGACTTAAAGGCAACTTCTGAAGTGTGAGTGAAATTTCTTAGCAGATTTATGGACATCAGAGATGATAATATCCTCAGGAAGTTTAAGTCACACTGAATGATGTCAGTATGTGTTTGATTTTTGACTCAAATTCACCTCACGCAGTATATTTGCCTCCCCTTCAACTCTCCAGCACCCCCCTGGGGAAGCTTTGGTCTTTATTTTCTTTTTGTCTTTGCCCCTGAAACGTTAATCCAATCTGAATTGGGCGTTAGTGTACTCAAATTCTATACCGCATTGGTTATTCTGCCTTTTTAAATTTTATGAAAAACTGTCCCCATTTCCCATCACAGACAAAGCTCCGTCCACTTTCTGTATCCTGTGGGCTCATCTTTTTCCCAAAATTTGTTTAACAAAAAAGCCCAAATTAACTTCTGCAATCAACAAAGTAGATTAAAGCAGAGAAATGGGCCCAGCTCATTTACTGTGGGTCCAATCTTCACCATAATTGCCTATGTAATATATTCTAGTAATTACATCAGAAAACCTGGGCTATTTTCCTCTTACTCTCAAGGACTTAAAACAATTAAATGTCATTATGTATTCACACCAAAAGGGTTAGAGATGTGGATCTGTAAAACAAAAGTTCCCTTTTGACTGGAGCAACTAAAAAAATTGCATTTACTGGATGGATCCACTAATTAAACTGACTTGGACATAAATATTTAAAAGTTGCCTAAAATATTAATTATAATTGGAGTTGTAATTGGGCTTACATATGGGTCAGTGCAGTATTTAAGCTAGTGTTAACTAGCTATGTGTGCAAAAGCACTAAGCATGCAAAATTATTGGGAAAATGCATGTACAGTATCACACATGAATATACCACATCTCATGAAATTCATCAGTCATGTACAGTGGACAGCAGGAACCAAAATTTAGTCAGCTGTTTTAGTCAAGGACTTTAAATCTTCACTGATGTGAGATTAGATATTCTTTTAACAAGTGGTCTGGTACATTGCCTCAAGTGATGTCACTTCTCTGGCTTTGACAAGTAGGAAGACAGAGGATATCTGTGGTTCTGCTGCATCAGTTTTGATCTACTTTTTCAATAACTGTCCATTGTGAGCTCTCTCTCTATATATATATATTTATATAGTTATATTTACTGTCAATGATTGTGAGATGATAATTAGGT